CTTCTCGGTATTTTTCGGCTAATTTAAAGCGTTGACTCCCTCGAGCCAGCAAAACATCGTGTGCCTGTTGTATCTTTATCATTTGAATACGACAAGATTCACAGTTTGGATTTCGATCCGGATGCCAGCGCTTAACAGCCTCTCGATAAGCACGTTTTATCTCATTTGGTTGAGAGCTAGGAGAAATTGCAAGGACTCTGAAATGCGCATCTGCTTCAACATCGATGAGACATTCCCACAAAGGCCAAAAATACCATAACACTCCCATTAATACAATTAATACTCCTAATAGACGGAGTAAAAAAAGCTTTCTTGATCCGTACCTAGATTTCCTTTCAAGAAACTCTCGCAAACAGCAATCAAGCCACTTCGTCTCCGCATCAATATAAGCCGAACGAGCCTCATCCCGAGCATCACCATCCACCGGATCGGGACACGATACCGTTTCCACTTCCGATTCCCGCTTCTTTTTAACTAGAAACACGCGATTGATAGCATGCATTCTATCTACAAATGCAGCAAAACTACTGTTTTTTTGCAGTGCATTTCGTGCTGTTGTTCCCTTCAATGGTCCCTCATTTTTAAATTCTCTGAGTGAACCCAAATTATTGTTTTTGAACAAATTGCGGTGCTTCATTTCCTCCACACTAACTTTGCTTCAACTTACAGAAAAATAAAAAAGACCAACAAACAAAAGAACGATAAATAAACAAGAAACAAAAAATAATGATAATATAAATAAATAAATAGATTATGTATCACCCTCTCTGAAGAGTCACAAGGAAAATTAAAAATGTAAACGCATCATATCGCTCCATCACTTCATAAATAAATAAATAAATAAATAAGAGAAAATAAATAAGGATAATAATAATAATAATAATAATAATAATAATAATGGAATTAAATAAGAATGGTATACAATATAAGCGTGAAAAATCCTATGACAAGCGCCAGATAAAATATTATAAATATGCCAAACGCACAAGAAAAAAAAAAAAAAAAAAGAAAAAGAAAAGAACAACCACCCCTAAATAATAATCCGCCAAGCAAATCCATCTTCAAATCATTTACATACTAATAGTCAAAAATGAAAATAAAAAACAAAAATCGAAACGGCTAATATTTAGGCAAGTAAGCAAAGTTTTCAGGAAAAAAAAAACCGGCGGTTCGACATATGCCCCTTATTAAACTTACAATACTAAAAAAAGCAATAATAATAATAATAATAATAATAATAATAATAATAATAATAATTCCCTGCAAAACAGACAAGCACACACACACCAAAAAAAAAAAAAAAAAAAAAAAAAAAAAGAAAAAAAAAGGAAGAAAAAAAAAAAAAAAAAAAAAAAAGGAATTTTCCCCAAACAAGAAAATAAAAGAATTTCGGTAAAGCCTTTCC